AAACTCAAGAAATCAGGTAATAAAATCAAATAGTCATGATAAAGCCTTTTATTCTCAATTCATAGTTAATTTTCTTGATATTTTATTTCATATATAATTACACTTCACAGACTAAAGGTATAAAACATACAAGGAAGATTAAAAGGTATATATATATAATTACAAAACAGATCTTACAACATAACAAGAATGGTCAACAAGGAATTAGAAATAATATAATGTTATAAAGCTGAAAACCATTCAGAAGGAATAGAATAATATAATATTAAATCATAAAATGATTCAGCAGATCTTATTAGTTAATTAAGCAGATCATTAATAACTAATTACACAGCCATTTAATTAATTACACAGCCACTCATCATTATTTCACAACATAAGGATCATTAATCACACAGATGACATCATTGACCAACATAGCAGTAGAATATTGATTTCACAACAGTACATCATTAATTCCACAGCTGCACATCATTAATTTCACAGCTGTAAATCATTAATTTCATAGCATGACATCATCATGACATCATTAAATTAGCAGTATGAGGTCATTACCCAGTCAGACCAAGGAAACTCATCAGTGAAGCTGTTTACCATCCCCACCAAAGATTTTGTCTATAAATAGAGGCCCTTTCTGGCTCATGTTATCCTTCCTTCTTCCCCATGTCTGCATCAGAGAAATAAGTAGAGATCTTATTTAGCATTCATCAACCCCCTTACATGCTAGCTACAGAATAGTAATTAGAGATATTACTTAGCTTTCATCAACCCTTATATTTCAGATACAGAATAGTAATAAGAGAATTTACTAAACCCTTACTCCTCATCCCTTTATTGATCCCTGTTAAATAATAAGGAAATTATTTAACTCTCTCAAACTCTCAACAGAAGATATTGAAGAAATAAAGACTCACTTTATTAAAGACCCAGAATTGAACCAGAGAACCCAGAAAGAATAGATTAAACCAGAATAAACCAGAAACCCACAGATATCTCCTAACTCCAGAAGCTCTTGACCATCCATTCCATTCACCCTTATAAACAACTCAACATCCTCAACAGGTAGTATCTTCACTAAGATAAATTTAGAAATCTACCACACTATTATTTTTCTTAGTGTAACTCTCTCACAAGCTAGACAAGGAGGGCAGTCTCACCAACACCCATTTATTATTATTACTATTTTATAGTTTTATTAATATTTATCCCCTCCAAGCTCTTCACTCATTAGCTGAGCAGTTCCACAAGTGGTGTCCCAACAGTGGCAGATCTCTTCAATTAATTTAGTCTTCTACAAAAGATACTACATTTCTCATTACCATCTCATCTCATTTCTCATTACCATCTCATCTCATTCCTCATTACCATTTCATCTCATTCCTCATTACCATTTCATCTGATTCCTCATTACCATTTCATCTCATTTTCTCATTTCCTCGAAAGGCCTCCCTCCAATAAAACATCAAACTTTACTTATTATCACCACCTTTTTACCAATAACTAAAGGGTAA